GTTATAAGCTTCCCATATCATATGTAAATTGATTTAGTATTTTTAAGGTAAACTTGGACAAATTAAAAATGCATAAATAAACCCTAGAGCGATTTCTAAAAACTAAAGAGATAGTTAATCTATGAAAATAATAGAAATAAACTAAATAAATAAATAAAAGACTAAAAAATAAATAATCAAAAAATTAGAAAAAGAGAGAAAGTAATAATAAACATATGCAGATGGGACAAGTAGAAAACAAGTAGCAGGATGGGTGATTTAAATCAAATTATATCAATAATTGCATTAAACATAAATAACCTAAACTCTGCAATTAAAAGGCAATAATTGTCAATCTGGATAATAAAAGCAAGACTTGGCCATATGCTGTCTCCTAGAAACATACTTTAAATATAAAGATATATCCAGTCTGAAAGTAAATGAATGGAAAAAGATATACAATGCAAACACTACTCACAAGGAAACTGGACTGCCTATGTTAATATCAGACAAAATAGACTTCATAAGAAGGAATATTACCAAGGGTAGAGAGGGGTATTCCATTATGATAAAGGGGCCAGTTCGTCCAGAAGACATAGCAATTGATCAAACAAGTAGATAGAAAAATCAATAGAGACACAAATAACAGATATCTTTGATGTCCACTTTCTGACCTGTCATTTATTGTCTTCTTCTGCCATCTCTCTTGCTTCACTAATTATCTCCTCCCTGTCTGTTTCTTCCATTGCTATTTTACCTCTTTCCTTTCCCTTTAGTCAAAAACAAGTTCAAGAATTTTTCATTCTAAATTAAACTTACTTTGCCCCTACTTCCTTATCTGAGGCTGTTAATCTTTCCCTTTCATAACCAAGTTTTCTGAAAGTGTAGAGTGGTCCAGGCCTTCTGGAGGCCCCTAGGACCCTGGGTCATCGCTGCTATTCAGACAAAAGCAGGCCCTTCCACCAGAGGATCCAGCAGTTGGCACAGTATTCTGGCAGCATCCGGCTGCTGAGGACAAAGCACTTTCCTTCTGATGAGAGTAACTGTGGTTCCTGTTAGTTGCCACCAGATGTGCCCAGCAGGTTCAGCCTCCTTTATTCAAAATTTAAACAAGCACTTACAGAATCATAACAACTGAAAAACTGGTTACAATTTTAGGTCTAGAAGCTTTACTAATTTATTGATATTTTGGGGACCATCTGAAGAGAGTTTTATACATGGGCATTGAATCAGGGGGAAAAATTAAATCCCAGATCCAGAAGGATGTTTCCAGGATTTCACCCAGCTAAATTATTCACTTTTGAAACTTCACCAATATGATTTCCACCCTCACACTCCATCAACTCTTTCTTAAAACTACTTTCATATTTCAGCAATGGACTCTTAATTGCTAACACCAATGACTGATTTTCAATCCTCATGCTACTTGACTCCTTTTGTAACTTTGACACCATTTAATTCTAAAAAACACATCTCTTCAGTGAGGTAGATAATGAAGTATAAATTTCAAGGCCTTTACTTACAAAGGATCAACATGCTTGGGGGGTTCTAGTAATATCACATTTGCATTTATTTTTTTATTTGTAAAAGTGAGATATTTAGCCTCAATTAACTAAGACTACTGTTGTTATCCACCCTGACTCCCCTTCATACTCCCTTCATATTAGGTGGCATTTGAGCAGGCATAGGCATTTTGGGAACCTAGCCAAAGAGAAGTTCAGTTGGAAATATATTTAATTTAAGGTTACAAGGGTATATTTGCATGGTTGGAAATCAATTTGATATATAATTAAGTCATTGCTAACAAAATTTCGTGGACTAGTAAGTGGCAGAGATAGGATTCAAATGAAGGATGGTCTGACTCTAATACTAACAATCTTAACAAAACGTTATATTGCCTTTCAATTGTTTGGTGATCCATCACTAGGCTCCTGATTCCTTAACTTAGTCTGTCCTCAACCTCTCAGAATTTGATACTCTAATCTCGACCACATTCTAACATTTAGCACCTTTTCCCTCCTCGTTTCCAAGCTTCAACACACTTTTCCTGTCTTATCACTTACTGCCACCTGGTGTGTTAACTACACTCCATCCAAATGCATCCCCTTATCTTTGCTAGATCACATTTTTGTTCACCTTCTTCCTTCAAATTAAAATGGCCTTAATCACACCTGTACTCATTTTTATTAATTTCCTGCTGATTGGACAAGAAGCATTAATTTCAATGAAAATAACACAACATTCAGTAATACGCCATTACAATGAGGAAACATTGACAACCAACAAGTTAATGTATGCTAATTCAGGCAATTTAATACTAGCCTTTATTCATGTTATTTATTGCCATGTAACAAACCATCTTAAAATTTACTAGTGTAAAACACAGTTTTTTAATGTGGGTTAGGAATTTGGACTTGCTCTGCAAGGATGGCTTATCTCTGCAACACCATGCCTGGGGACTCAGTTGGAAAGATTCAAACAACTGGAGACTAGAATTATGTGGAGGTTCCTTTACTCATGTTCAGCACATGGTATGGGAAGATTCAAAGACTTGGCTCATCTGGGATTGTCAATCAAAAAAGCCTGCACCTGGCTTTATCATGTGCCTTGAGCTTCTTCAGAGTATGGCAGCCTCTGTGTAGTCAGACTCCTATCACTGAGTACAGGACTCCGGCTGTAAGTATTCCCATAACAAAGGATGGAAATGCATGACCTTTCTGACCAAGCCTCAGGAGTAGCATAGTTTCATTTACACTGTACTCTATTGACTGAAACAGACATGACTTGAAGCCTACCCTGATTCAAGAGGAAGGGACATATAACTGCACCTCTCAGTGGGAGATGAGTCAACTGCTATAAATTGGACATTTGCCCTGGAAGAATGAGACCTGGCTCTCTTATCTTTCCCTGCTGAGTATGTCCAGACAGGGAAGGAGAGGTAAGAGGGATTGGAAACACGATGGTACCTGTCACAGTAGAAGGTATCTTTGCACCACCTGACAGGTGTTTACAGCTGACTTTTTCTCTCACATGTACTTCTGTGTGTTCCTCAGAGATTCTCCTGTTGTGTCTTGCAAATTGCAACTTGCGTAATAATGGGCAATGCTTGTCCTTCTCATGGCTGCCCCTTCTCTCCCCACAGCTCCAGTTCCCACAGCCTCTTACTGATGGGCACATATTGGCCCAAGGAGCTGCTCACTTGGTCAGGATTTTTTTCTAAAACAGCCAAGGCTGCCATTCATACCAGAGGTTCCACATGTCACGGTCCCTGGAACACCTTGGATTCTATTTGTGGTTAAATTACTCCTTAACCACAAATAGAATGAGAAACAGAAACACCATGTCATCAAGCTGTATATAAGGGGAATGCAGCTTCCCAAGAGCAGTAGTGAGCTGCTCCAGCTGTCTCAGGTAAGTGACAGTCACCAAGTCCCAATCTCCCCCAGTTTCAAAGCACACATAGAAAGCTCCCCATGTGGTCCCAAAGAAGCCCCTCCCACTGTACACTGAGTTTACCTCCCATCCCCAGCCACTACGTTGAGTAGAGGTAAGAGAGGAGCCCCACAACACAGCTTTTCCCCAAAACTTTCTCATAAAAGGCCTCTCTGTTTTCATCTCTGGATGTTTTCAGATAGTTGGAGTTTTTGCATAGGTTCTAGCACCCCGTTTGGAATGCAGCCATGTGCTCTGTCATGATGCTTCTGCTGAAATTTCAGAACGTGCTGCAGAGCCCAAAACCAAACTCTAACTCTCAACCTTCTGACCCCTCCATGTTTCCTCATTTAGTAGTCCAATCTAGACACTTGAATTATGCTAAAACCATTCATCACCAAAACTTAACACCTACACCTCAAAAATGTCAAAAATTTGCCCAGTTTTTCCTTACTTTGGATCAGGAACCAATATCTTCTCACCTGAACTATTACAAACTCCTAATTATTTGCTCATTTGGTAAATATCTGTTGAAGATCTGCTATATGCACTTTGGATACAAAAACTAAAAATGCAACCTCTTAAGAACTTCATGTGCTAAATGGGGAAAATGATAAGCCAACATTTACAATATATTGTTGTTGTATAAATCCTTGAGGCCGAGATTTGGTCTATTTTGTTCCTTATTGTGCACCCAGGACTGTAGCAGGATCTGGTATATAATAAAAATTCAATAAATTAAGGAGTAATATAGCATTTGAACATAGATGCTGTTGGAACACACAGTCAAGTCCTGTGAGCGCCTCAACATGTGAAAGAGACCAAAGAACACAGTGCTTCAGCCAGGTGTGAATACAGGCATCTATTCCTGGCCAAGCAAACAGGCTGCACAAAGGCACAGAATCAAAAAGAGCATGCGACAAGTTAGAAACTGCAAACAGCTCCGTGTGGTGTGTGTATATTGTGAAGGAAGGAGGGAGGAAGTTAGGCTAAAGATTTTGACAAGAGTCGGATCATAAAGAATATCCTGTGTCATGCTAAGGAGTTTGACCTGCGGCTTGCAGGTGGTAGGGAGCTGCTGAAGGGCAAGCCGGTGCCTCGCTCAGCTCTCACTGTGAAAGCTTACTCTAAAAGCAGTGCTGAGGTTGAATTGGAGAAAAACTAGTATGTAGATAGAGAAGCCAGGTCAACAGCAATAATATTCAGGGATTTTAAATCTTGAAATAGAAAAGACGTTACTCCTTTCTTTCAAAAATTACTCCTTAACCACAAATAGAGTGAGAAACAGAAACACCATTTCATCAAACTGTATAGAAGGTTGAACCACAGTGTACGACAATGGCTCCCAGTTGCACTGAATGTCGCGAGGAGGAGGAGGAGGAACACTGCAAGGGAAATAGATGTCTGCAGCTGTACCTCAAACGAGGTCACAGAGTGATATGCTCCAGGACAGGGGATGCTCCCAAGGGGGACACTAACAAGACCTTATTTGCAATAATGGCAAGTGTGTGCATTGACTGTCAGAAAGGCTTTCCCTCAACCCAGAAGAAACTCAGGAAAAGGCAAAATCACACAAACACTCTACTCACCCAGAAATGATCTGTTGGTGAAACAGAGTCAACCAGATGGATGTGCATGGTAAGCAGTCTTGCAAACGCTGATCCTTGTTGACTGGAGAGAAGAAAGGGACAGAAAGAAGTCACAGAAACAACTTGAATCACAAGGAACTTTGAATGAGCATTGACACACACAAGCAAAATACAATCAATACCAGAAGAATAGGCTAATTATTAGTAGTCAAAATTTTATTTTACCTCTCTCTGTCCATGGAAGATCTAGTGGACAAAAAAATAAGTATAGATAGGAATGACTTAAATAACAAAATTATTAAGGTAACATAATTATTATTTAATTGATAAGTATCCAACTTTATATCCTAAGACCACAAAACTAGTAGCACATTGTCAAAAATTAACTATATATTACTCCATAAAGAAAACTTTAATAAATTTCAAAAAGCAAGAATAATAAAGTCGATAGTCGCTAATCAAAAGCAATAAAACTAAAGACATGTAGGTAAATCAGGAACCCTACCACATGATTGTATAATTTAGCACAAAAAGTAATACAAGCAAAAAGTTATGATGGCCTAAAATAAGACAATGAGAAGGAGTAAAGAATCAAGTGATAAAACTATGTGGTGATCAGAGATGGGAGCGCAAGAAGGTGGAGTTGTCTTTAGAAACTTCTAGGCTTTTCCATTGGGAAATGAGTGGATCACATCGCCATTCATTAACATTGGAGGTACATTAGGTGACACAGCTTTTCAGGAAAAAATAATGAGTTTGTTTCAGTCAGGTTGAGTTTGAAATGCCAACTAGGCCTCAGTGGACAAGTTAGACCAGGCAGCTAAATATATCAGTCTAAATCTCAGACAGAGATAAAAGCAAGAGATGCATATTTGGAAAACAATCTTGTACACAGGCCAAGTGACACTGGATTTAGATGAGATCCTCAGAGAGGCTTTGAATAACAAGATAGGAGGACCCAGGAGAAAGCTCTGGGGTGCACAGATGCTTAAAGAAAAGTAGAAAACAAAGATTTAGGGAAGGAGACACAGAAATGTGCTTCTTTTGTAGCATGTATCACACTTGTAAATTACTGGTTTTATGCCCCATATTTCCTGCTATGCTCTAAGATTCATGAGGATTGAGACCCATGTCTATAATATTCACTGCTTTATTCTGAGCCTGGACATGGGCTTAGTCAATAGTGGGTGATCAATAAATATTAGTTGAATAAATAGCTCAAATAAGGCATTAATCCAAAATAAGGACTCCATTTGAACTCCTCTGCCTCCTTCTTCCTGTTCTATGCGTGAATCTGATCTTTTGTCTCTCTCGTACATCCACCCTCCCTCTTTTTGTTAGCTCTTCTCTTTATTCTGTGGAAAATCTCTATGAAGGGGTTAAGTTCATGAAATATCAATCTTTGCAAACACAGTGACCAAAAGGAGACTCAAAAACAAATATTGGGTCTAATGAACCCTGATGGTATACCAGGGGTTGATATCTGTAGAGCAAAGCAGTTCAGTAAGTCTTCCCTTAACATGATAACCGGCTTCTTGGAAACTGCAATGTTAAGTGAAATAATGTATAACAAAACCAATTTTACCATGAGCTAAACTGATATAAACAAAAGTTAAGTTCCTACGGTGTATTTCTGGTCACAGAAACATCACCAAGCATTGAAATAAATATGAGCCATACATACATTTAAGAAAGATTAATAAAAATAAATAAGATAATGATTTTCCAGCCCACATGTCCCAGTTCAAATGGCGAATGGCCAGAGCCTATCCAAGAAGCTCAGGGCTCAGGGCAGAACCCCACCCTGGAGAGGATATTGTTCCATCGCAGGGCACACACACACCCACACTCAGCCTAGAACAATTTCAGACATGTCAATTCACCTCATGGGCACATTTTTTGGGATGTGGAAGAAAACCAGAGTCTCTGGAGAAAACCCACAGACAGGGGAAGAGCATGTAAACTCCACACGGACACTGGCCCTGGCCAGGGATCAATTTATTTTTTCCCTCATCAACATTTTAAGGAAACAGCATTGAGTGAAACAATGATATCCAAGAATCTGCTGTACTTTTCAATCATTTTCATGTCACATTACACATAGAAAATAATATAGCACACAGGGGTAATAAAGGAGCTTGCCCATGACTGATGGAACCAATGTGCAGATAGACCTGTTGACCATCTGTAATGCAGAGGATGGGAAGTTCTATACAGTTCTCTTTTAAGGCTTTCTCTCCATTTTGAATACTGTTGTTTCCAAAGTATTATAAGATTTTTGGGCATAGGTTCAGATCATTTATTCTTATAGACAGTATAAGGGTAGTGGTTAAGAAAAGATGGCTTGGGTGTGAATCTGGCTCTGCCATTCACTAGGTGTGTAATCTTGAACAAGTTACTGATCCTTTATGTACCTCAGTTTCCTCTTTTATAAAATGGAATAGTGCTCCGTATAGTTGCTGTAAAGATTACATGATTAAATGAGTGAATATATCTAAAGTGCTTAGGACAGTGCTAGACAATATGAAAATAGGGTATTCTTATCCAGTTAATCACGTAATAGGAAAGACTTCATCTTGTGATAATTCACAAGAACCTAGACCATACTGTTTTGCTAAATGGATGAATATTCCCTCACCATTTATGGTGTTCACACACCAAAATTCACTTGATATGATTCATAAATGGAAAGAAAAATGCTACCTAATGTGCAGCTGTGTATACAAAGATAATTGCAAGAAAACATATAACGGGTAATTTAAAAATTCATTAAAGTAATCATCCTAACTTGTGTTTATAAATCTAAAAGTAAAAATGTTTTATAATTATGGAGGAAAGAAGAAAGCAATCTTCTCTTCAACAAAATTAAGTCATCAAAGTTTTCAAAAGCATTGCATTTTGACAATGAAAATGTTATTTAAATTCTTATTAAAATTCTTAATGTAGCTGTTTTTCATGATCCCCTTGAATATTTCTATGATTTTCTTGTTAAAGGGTCTAAAAATATTTTTTTAATAAAAGGGGTCCTTTGGGCACAGAACATAAATATTAATGACTCAGGATTAAACTGAGGATATAAAAATGAGTAGACTCAGGCTCTAAAAGAAAAGAATAAAATAGAAATATTTTCTCCTTAGGGTTGATTGTATTGCTATATTTACTGTATTGAACAGTTTGATACAGGAGTGAAGAAAGCACACAAAAATAAACCTAAGTTAAGACACACAAAAAATGAAATCATCAGTTCAGAGACAAAGCTGAAGGCTATGCAATGACTGAATAAATCCCAACAATGATCGAATTATGTTTCCATGTTAAGTCCCCTTCTGACCTATGTTTGTAGAGACAACTAAGCTCATGAACCCAATTTAGCTTAAGTAGTTTAAGCAAAGAAAACTCGACTCAGGGAGCTCACCAGGGCCCTCACATTGGACTCTTTGATAATATCTGTAGACAATGTCATTGGATTAAAGCTCATAAAGTCTGCTGCACATAAAACTGTACATACATATTTAATATATAAATTACCTTCTGGAGGTAAGCATACAACAACCCTTTATAATATAGAATTCTAATGTTAAAAAGTTTTATCTTTTTTCTCATTTAAATAAACCTATATCTCTCTATCTGCCAGCGTTCTTCATTGCACCCATGAAAAACAACTTTGTCTTAAGGAAAAGGATTTTATTGGAAGGATATTGTAGGCTCAGAGAACGAATGGAAGGCTGAAGAGGCAGATTCTAACTTTCACTAAGATGATAACCAATAATGTAGGAAATAACAGGGGAGAGGATTTCTTGAAAAAAGTTTGGAATGCCATTCAGAAAAATGTCAAGGCAGCTATTATTAATTAAAAACAGAATCTATCATGTTGGAAGAGGAAAGGAGTGAAGGTTAGTTAGTAGAAATTCTAAGTATGAAATCGGTAATTTCAGGAGAGCATATGCAGGTCCTCAGGATCTCACAGAGTCAGGCTAATGAGAAGTAAACTGCAGAAAGCTTGGACCTTTGCCATTACCTTAATGGGGTGAGCCAAAAACACCAGAGTCCAATGGAGACTGAACTATGCATGTATCACTCCAAATTTCCTTGCTGATGAAGCCACTAGCTCAGGCTAATTATATTATAATGAGAAAATCTACTTGGAAAGGAATCACACCACCTCACCCCACCCCCCCCCC